ACTTTACTTGCATTTTTTGTTTTTGTTTTATTATTATTGTTTTTATTAAAATTTTTAACCTAACCTCTTTTAATTTTCATTTTATTTTTTATATTTTCTTGTTTTCCATGTTCATATTAAAAACAACTTTTTGAAAATTTTCTTTTTTTTTTGTTATTGCTGCAATGTTTTTATATATTTTCCATTATTTTTATGTTTTGGGGGTGTGAATTTTAATTAATTTACAGGAATAGAACAAGCTTGTAAAATTGGTTGTTTTACATACAATTTTTTTTTGTGGTTTTTATAATTTTTTTTCAAATTTTCTTTGATAAAAAAATTTCTTTAGTTTTTCATATTTAGTACCTTTGTGTTTGTATAACTTTTATATTATAATATTGACATATGTCAATTATTGTTGTATAGAAGTATAGATCATCTTAAATGCATATGTACAAAAATAAAAAAAAATTATAAAATTGATGACAAAAACGCAGACTTCCATATGTAAAATGTAAAAGAAATAAAATTAAGACAAATTTACAAATCAAGCAAAATTCTACGATTAAGTTTGAAACGATTAAAATTTGAAACCAATTTGATTTGTAAATAACCAACCCGATCAAACTAAATCGTATGAAAAAATAAAATTTTGTTTTATTTTCCAACAAATTTTTTGACAACTATTAAAAATAGCGAGCACTAAAATTTGATCAAATCAAATTGAATTTGTAAACACTAATTTAGTTTAGTCAATTTTGCTAGATTTTGAAAATTCTGCCCAAAATAAGCATAAAATAAAAAATTTCAATAATAAATTTTTAAAAGCGAAAAACTATTAAAGTATAACACTTTTCTTAAACTGATTAATATATAGTTTGTGTGTGTTTAAAAAAGATTATTATAAATTTCTTATAAGTGATAAAAAATAAATACTTATAATTGAATATATATATGTACGCACACATATGAAAATATACAAAAATATAATAATATTGTGTTCATGCCTCCAAAATAAAATAGTATAATAAAAATTTTATAAATAAAGCAAAAAAAAGGAAAATAAAATAAAGAAAAAATTAAATTAAGTGTTATACATAGCTTAAAAATTATCCGTTATTTGAGCTTGTGTGTGTGTGTGTATTGCTTGTATTAACAAAATAATACTTGATCTAATCTCTTAATACTTAATCATACTTAAACACTGCATAATACACAATTTTCTATAATACAATATTATTATTATTCTTGTGTTATAAATGTTAAGTATAATAATATAATCAAGAAGAAGAAATTAAGAACAAAATAGAAAAAAAAAAGAAAATAAATGTAATCCTCTCTTTTTATATGTTATGTACCTTAGAGCAGAAGGATTAAAGTGTAGTACCTAACTCAGTTATAATTGTAAAAATTAATTTTTTTTAAATGTTGTGTTTTCTTTTTTAATAGTGTTTTAATTTATATTGTGTTTATTGGATTTGATGATTTTAAAGAAAAAAAAGAGTCAAAATTTGACATTTATAAAAAGTAAAATTACATAATTTTATTTGACATTTCTTCAATATTTTTTGCTCATGTAATTTTTATATTGATAAATTATAAATAAGAAGAAGAAATTCAAGAAAACTTTTATACAAATGTGGAATGAATTTAATATTAATTTAAATTCAACTGATGATTTTAAAATGTGTAATTATTAATTATTATTTTTATTTATTATTTTGTTTTTATATTTATTAATATAATAACCCTTATATTGAGTGACATTTGAATTCTCTCGCCACCAATATGTCGAAATAATGTTCGTTTTCTCGCTTCTCTCCCTCTCTCTCTATTTATCGTTATGTAAAAAATATGAAATATTTCTCTTTTAACTTCGATTCCATTCTTACGAATGTAATTCGATCTATCCATGCTTGTTTGCGATTGTAATTGGATAGCTTATTTTGAAAGTGATCTATGAATTCATTTGCCATTTACTCTTTTATTTTTAATAGCAATGTCAGTAATTGATAAAATGGAGAAATTATGTCTTGCCGTGGCAATCTATACGTTTAGGACTAATTTAATACTCGCATTCTGTATTGTCTTCTTCGTCTTGCTTGTTAGTTGTGAAAATCTCTAAATCAACCACAATTTATTAAACGTCATTTTAATCTAGCTAAAATTTCTCCAAACTATGTTATTATTGTATTTGTCATCACTGTCATATAAAATTTCTAATTATTACTTATATTATTGGAATAATACGAGCTAAAACCTTTCAACGATTATAATATACATACATACGCACATAATTGTATTTCACATAATATTTATTTCTTATAAATTGTAAAATGCATTAAATAATTTCAAAATTCTAATATAAGCAATAAATAAAAATTCTTAATACTTTTAGACTAATAAATTTAAAATTGTTATAAAATCGACATTTATTAATTTTATAACAAGTGAACAACTAAAAAACGCAAAGAAAATAAAACGAAAACAAATTAAAACTTACATTTTCATACATAAATATATTTTTTAACACTTTGCTTACCACCGATTATTTAATAATACACAATGACATAATACACATACGAGTAAAAAATTTTATAAAATTTTGAATTCATTAATATAATAATTTTAATTTTTTATAAGAATGTTCATATTACAACAATTTTTATGGAAATCACAAAAACTTCAATTTACAAAAGAATTACGATATCAGCAATACGCCATTAATTCAAAATGACGCATTCTATAAGTATTGATTAGACTTTTAATCATTGTGACTACAAATGGGTTAATTTTTAAAATATTGTTGAAAAAAAATTACAATAATAAAGTTATCAAAAAATAAATGTTGTCCTATGATGTCTACATAGTTTTAGGATTTATATTGTGATGAAATTATATTTTTATTTATTATATAAAAATATAATAAATGCCCATTGAATCTATTATAATGCGTTTTCATTCATCATTCATATTATACGTTTAATTTATTGTTATCATTGTTGTATACAAATGTATACAAGTATATATATAAAAAGTCTCCACAAGCATTTAGAATTGTCTTTAACGTAGTACACGTTATTTAGTTTGTGTTGCATTATTCTTGATGCACTTACTTATATAAAATTAATGAAGTATTAAATTCAAAAACAAAAAATTTTATTTTTTATTATAATGATTAATGTCATAAAATCTTTTAATAAAATGTTTTATTTATAAGCTTGTGTGTATTGTTGCTCATTTGTCAGTAAATGGGTAATAATTTATGTTTATAATAATTAAGTAATACGTTTATAAGTTTTATTATTTATATCTAAAATTAGAAGAAGCAAAATTGAGCTCTAATGAACTTTCAATTTTGAAATCAAAAATTATAAATTTATTCTTGATTTACTTGCTTGGACATAGTATAAACCATCCATACTTTTTTTATAAAGCTCTTCGTAATTAATTTATTCCCAATTTCAATGGGCTAGTCTAGTGTATTTTAATTATCAGCAATATTTTTCAAACATTCCAAGGAAAAATAAAAAATTTTAATTATTTAAAGCTAAAAATAAAATTTACATCCAGTATTCGGTAAGTTTGAATTCTGTAATCGGCATATCAATTTTTTTTTCAAAATTAACTTACCGATTACATTTCAAAGTCGAATTTTCGGAATTTAAATTGAAATTAAAAAAAACGGGTGGTCTTGGATCTCAGATATTCTATCTGGTAACTTTTTTTTTGTACGTATATATTTTCATATTTCTACTTTAAGTATTCTTAGGTACTCAATATCCTAAACCGACTAGTTCTTTCAAGCAAGACACCATTGTATAAAATATGTAACTTAAGTTATTCCTTTCTCATAATTTTGCTAACCACTCAAACATTTTTTTAATACAAAAACAGAAAAAGAAGTCAAGTTAAAATATTGACTCGGATCACAAAAAATTCTGATATAAAAAGCTAAATATTAAAAAAAAAAAAAATTTAAAAAAAATTAAAATTTTAATCATGTGGTCGTTTGGGAATATTTTAAACTGATAACGATTACATCGTACTCGTATTTAACAACTTTCTGCCTTTTTTCTTTTTTCTTTCTTATTATTTACCTTTTCATGATATTGTGTTTGAACTTTGTTGTTCGATGGTAACTCTTCACATTCTTTTACAAAATTTCATTAACATGTAAAATTTTACAATGGTTGAACATGCACTATAAAAATTAAAAATTAGAAGAGAAGAGATAATAAAATTCTTATAAATAAAGAATGGTAAGAGAAAAATGAATTAAATGAGGAGAATTTTTAAAACAAGAATTTCAATCTTATCGTGATTTGAATATAAATGATAAGAAAAAATAAAAATAAAAGCATTTTTTATAAAATTCAATTGCTTACTATTTAAATATATTTCTATATACGCATATATAAGTATAAAATTTTATTATATGCCATATTCTGTTATAATATACTGAAATATCTATTCGGAAGTAATTAGAAAATATCAAAAACTTAAAAGGAAATTATTGCAAGAGAAGAGGGAACGTAAAAATGTCACATTAAAATTCATAAAGAATTTCTTTCTCTCTCTTCTCATATTGATTTTAACGAATGCGCAATTAGTGATTGAAAATCCACATGTTAAGTGGAAGTGCTTTGCCTCCACAAACGCAAATTTAATTAACCAGGGTCATACAGTTTTTAAAAAGACTATGAATTATATGTAGGTATAATAGATGGTGAATCAAGTTTCAAAAGTATGAATTTTAACAATGGTTATTAATATGGTTTTTACACCCCAATTTGTTCTAAATTAAAAATTTTTTTAAATTGTCCTCTAGTATTAAAACTGTGATTGTTATTCCAAAAAATCGTTTATAACATAATTTTTGTTTTAGTTATTAATTCTTTATTACATACTTTTTATAGTTTGTCCACTGTTATTTAAATGTTTTTTATTGTAAATAACAAATTTAAAAATAAAAGTAATTTTAATTCAATTTTCAAATAAAATAAAATTTTTAATTACAGATTACCCACCACAATCCCATAAATTTAGGGTAAATCCTCCCTCATCACATCCCACAACAAATCACCTTCATTCACAAAATTTTCATAAAATGGATACAGATGACGTTGAATCATCAAGTACAAGCACAATGTCAACACTTGGTACATTATTTTCATTTACAAGTCCAGCTGTAAAAAAATTACTCGGATGGAAACAGGGTGATGAAGAAGAAAAATGGGCAGAAAAAGCCGTTGATAGTTTGGTGAAAAAATTGAAAAAGCGTAAAGGTGCAATAGAAGAATTAGAACGTGCATTATCTTGTCCTGGTCAACCATCAAAATGTGTTACAATTCCACGATCATTAGATGGTCGTTTACAAGTAAATATTATATAAATATTATTTTGTTCAATATTAAAACTTAAAATAATATTATGAATTTTTTTTTTAGGTATCTCATCGTAAAGGTTTACCTCATGTTATATATTGTCGTGTATGGAGATGGCCAGATTTACAATCACATCATGAACTAAAGCCATTGGATACATGTCAATTTCCATTTAGTTCAAAACAAAAAGAAGTTTGCATAAATCCCTACCATTATAAACGTGTTGAAAGTCCAGTTTTACCACCAGTTTTAGTTCCACGTCATTCAGAATTTGCTCCTGGTCATTCATTATTACAATTTAATCAAATATCAGAACCAAATATGCCACATAATGTTAGCTATTCAACAGCTGGTTTTAATTCACATTTATCACCAAATAGTCCTGGTGCAATGACATCATCTGGTATTGGTAGTCCTGGTTCAGTTGTTAGTTCAAATCCAACATCACCATATGGTAGTTTAGCTGAAACACCACCACCAGCATATAGTCCATCTGAAGATGGTAATGCTAATAATCAAACAGGTAATGGTAATCCACCAGATGCAAGTCAAATGGATGTTGGACAAATGGGTGAGGTAGCTCAAGTTAGTTATTCAGAACCATTATTTTGGGCTAGTATTGCATATTATGAATTAAATTGTCGTGTTGGTGAAGTATTCCATTGCAGTAATAATTCAGTTATTGTTGATGGTTTTACGAATCCATCAAATAATTCAGATCGTTTCTGTTTGGGACAATTAAGTAATGTAAATCGAAATAGTACGATTGAAAATACAAGACGGCATATTGGCAAAGGTAAATTTGAAAAATAAAATCATTTGTTTAAATGCAAATATGAAATTTATAATTGAATTACAAGAAATAGAAAGAACAAATTAAATACCCCATAAAATTTTCTTACGATTCAAATATTTTTTTCAATAATTATAAAATATTGTGACCTAATTATTTAAAAATTTACTTAACTGTATAGATAACAAATATACTAAATAATAAGTAGATAAAAAAAAAAATATTTTTTTCTATGGTAAAAATCATATCGACGTCAATAATTTCCCTTATCTTAGAAAAACATACAATGACTCAGTTACGATATACAAAACTATAACCACCTATTAACAGAACTCTAACAAACATACATGAATGATATTAGCTCAAATAAGTGAAAAAAAAAATGATAAAAAATTCGAAAAACACAAAAAAACAGCGCATTAATGTCTGTTCAAATATGATGTGACGTCAATTTAAAATTCTATAGAAATGAAAACATTATACAATTATTAAGAAAACACAAAATACACAACCCCTATTGCCTGTACACACACATACTAGATTTACGTAAATTGATAAAAACAAAACAAGAAAACAATTATTTTTAAGATAAAGTCCATCGTATACAAATATACAAACAAATAAATAAATAAACGAAATTCTAGGCTTTCATCTACGTAAAAATTAATCAAAAATGTCGTAAGAAGATACCCGTGTTGTCCCAAGATACAATGTTTCAAACTATCTCTTGTTATCAATTCAAATGTAAACATATAATAAGCACACACGTATATACTATTGTATAGTCTACTTGAAATAATTTGAAGACAAAAGTAAAATTCCAACAAAATTGTTTACACAATTAATATGCTTTTGTTTTATTTATTTTGGATTAAACAATGAGAAGCAAATATTAAAAGTGTTGCCTAGATAATTTCAAGTGTTGCAATTTTTTTTTTTTAATTTTCTACATTTTATGTGTAGACTTTGAAACGTTTTCCTTTCATTAACAAAAAAAAAATAATAATCTGTAATTAAGCTTAATAAAATACAAAGATAATAAAAATCTTATCATTTTACTATGCGGCGCTACAGTCCACATGATTTTTTAAATCACCTCTATTGTTTAAAATTACGAAAAAAAAATAAAAAAATATAATTATGTAAATTTTAGCAAAAATTTAAGAAAATATTTCATATTTCATGAAATTTATTTCTTTTATTTTTACTTATTTTCAATAATAATAATAATAAAATTTTAAATTTCTCTTTTTTTATATTTAAGGTGTTCATTTATATTATGTTGCTGGTGAAGTTTATGCTGAATGTTTATCAGATTCAGCAATATTTGTACAATCTCGTAATTGTAATCATCATCATGGTTTTCATCCAAGTACCGTATGTAAAATTCCTCCTGGATGTTCATTAAAAATATTTAATAATCAAGAATTTGCTCAATTATTATCACAATCAGTTAATCATGGTTTTGAAGCTGTTTATGAATTAACAAAAATGTGCACAATTCGTATGAGTTTTGTTAAAGGATGGGGAGCTGAATATCATCGGCAGGATGTAACATCAACACCATGTTGGATAGAAATTCATTTACATGGTCCATTACAATGGTTAGATAAAGTTTTAACTCAAATGGGTTCACCACATAATGCTATAAGTTCAGTATCTTAAAATAATATATAATATATACATGTATATATACAAATATATTATATAAATATATATATATCTATATATAAATATATAAAATAAATATAAATTAAAAAAAAAAATTTTAAAACTCTTAAGAATTAAATGAAAAAGGGAGAAAAAAAAATTAAATAAATAAATAAAATAAATTAAAGATTATAAAAAGAAAAAAAAAAAAACAAATATAAAAAAAGATTATAAAATTTTTAGAAAAATAAGATGTCAAAATAAAATATAAAATAAGGATTAATTGAAAAAGCAAAAGAAAAAGTCAAAAAAAAAAAATAAAATAAACATGATGATTAATATAAATACTGAAAATAAATAATTTTAAGTTTCACAGAATAAATATAAAATCTTTTTTTGTTTTGGAAAAGAAGTTATTAATTTAAATGATATTTAAATTATGTTTACATTGTTCTAACTAAACGTTAAAAATTAATCATTTTAAATTTTTACAATTAATTTAATTTAAAAAATTTAAATGTAGAATTAATTAAACCACTTACCACACAATAAAAGCTTCCCTTCAAAATTTATAAATATGACAAGTTACCGTCTTTTCCTTGTTATCTCTTGTATACCATGCAAGAAATGAACTAGCGTGGAAACGAAACTACTAATCTCCTAATTGCAAACTACTAATATGACGAATTTTACAGAATTTGTAAAAAAAAATACTGTTTTCAAAAATTGTATTAATAAATTCATTTTGTCTCTTTTACTAATGTCCCATTTTGAAAAATATACATTTTAAAATCAAATTTTTCTTTCAAATCATATGCAAATAATTTATATTAATTAAAATTAGAATGTTTTAGAGATTAACGTTTAGTTTTAAGCAAGTAAACATAATTTGATAATAATATTAATAATAAATTTAATTTGACAAAATGTAATCACCAAAATAAAAAAAAAATAAGTGAATACATAAAATATAAGAAAAATTATAGCATTGTACGACAGAAAAATTTATAGTGGAAAACAATAAAAAAAAATCAAAAATTAATATTAAAATTAATTATTTAAATAAGTAATTAATTTATCTAAATTGAAAAATGCAAAAATAAAGTAAATATTGAAAAAGAAAATTAAATCTTCCTAATATAATTTTTCCTATTTATTTTTTTTTTCTTTAAATAAAAAATGTTGATTATATTTTATAATCAAATCATAACTAAATAATTTACTCAACAATTGTAATAACCATTAAATTTCAATTTATTTTTTTTTTTTCATTTATGTTATATAACAAAATGCTATAAAATTATATTTAATTTTTTTTGATTTTAAATATATATTAAATAATAAACATAATATATTTATTGCGTTTTAAACAATAAAACAATTTATTTTGATTTTAAGACTCAATTATTATGTTCCAGAATTAAATTACAAAATATTGCTTATACATTTCTATAAATGCAAATAAAATGAAAAATTACTAAAAAATTTTTATTTAAGAAAAAATTTAATTCATTTAAAATTATCCTTAAATTCAGTAAAAACGACAAATAATATAAAAATAGAAAAATAAGACTTATTCAAAATTTATGGTTCGAAGAAAAAACAACTAAAAAATAGGTAATTTTTATTTAATTGTTTTTTTTTTTTTAGTTTTTATAAAGAGTATTCATTTCAATTGAAACTTAAAAAGAGTAATGACTTTAACAATCATAATATTTTTCTTTTTTCATGTCTCAAGCAGATTATTATTAAAATTAACTTAATAAATATAAAAAATAATATAATATCAATTTATTTATTAAATAAGTCAATAATATTTTTGTTTTAAAATTATATTATTAACTTAATAGTACAATAAAAATAATCCCTATAATTGTTCTATTAAATTAACGATATTGAAGAAAGGTGGTAAAATAGTTCTGTAAGATTATTCTAATACTTTCGATTTTTATTAATAATTTTTTTTTTTTACTATTAAATTATGTACATATTATTTATATAAAACTTCAATGAAATTAATGAAATCTAAAAACTATAAAAAGACATTTTGAATTAGTTTAAAGCTCAGTCACATTTATATTCTATTCTTGAAAATTAAATTTTTAAGTTTAATATTATAAAAGAATTCTTAACAACTAAATCTAGTAATTTTAAAAATGTTTATGAACTATAAATGTATTTAATTATTAAAATATATGAGCTCTCCAAAAAAATATATTATTTGAATATTATAATAGTTTCAAACGGACCAAGTTTAATAATTTTTATTTGATGTTATTCAATTATTTCCACTTATAATTTATTTTTATACTATATTCGTAATTAATAACAAAATAAAATTTAAATTTTCAAAATTTTATTTTCCGTTTTCTTAGTTTTTTTATACCACATTTTTTCAATATTTGTAATTTAATTATTATTTATTATATAAATACAATAAAAATTAAATAATGAATACTCTTATAATACGAAAATTTTATTATAATTTTTCAATTCCAAATTAGAAAATTATTTAATTCATTATATTACAAATTATATTAGAACTAATGCCAGTAATTGGTATTAATGGTCAAAATCTCTAAACGATGAAAATAAAGGGACACTTTATATTTTAATTAAAATTTTATTTGTATGTTGTATAAAAAAGAAAGAAAATCTATTTTTAAATAACCTGTGCCTTGCCCCAGCTATAAAACTAAAAAAATATACTAAAAGAAAAAAAATAAACAAAAAATATAATTTTAAGACATCGATTCAAAAAAAAAAAGAAGAAATTCCTAACTCTTAAGTAGACAAAATCATAAAAAAAATCAAAAAGAAATAATGAAGCTCAGGGATTTTTATTTGTTTTAAATTTTTTTTTCCTAGATTTAATAATTACTTCTTAGTGATTTTATGTTTTACTAAGTTTATATACAAAACAAAATTACAATATTTTCTATTATTATATTTTTTCTCTTAATTTTGTTTAAAAAAAAAATTTATAATAAATTTAATTGTATACCAACTTTCTACAAAGTTAAGCTTCCCATTTAAAAAAAGGAGAAAACAAAATCTTCCCATTAATATTAATAATTAAAAAAAAAAAAAAATAATAATTTTATGTTCTTCCATTTACCTTTTTTGTTTTTAATTATTTTTGTTATAAAAATATAATTACATTTTATATTAAATATAATTTTTAAAATTTGAGTTACTGCTTTAATTAAATATTTTAATTCTCTTTTTTTTTTTTTTTTTTTTTTAATAAATTGAATTTTGAATAATGAATTTATTTTTATGAGTTTTATTTAGACAAAATTTAATAGTTGACTTTTTATTATAATTATACACAATTAATTTTTCATTAATTTTTAAGGATTTTTAAGTTAGAAAACAAAATAAAAAAAAATTCTTTTACTTTCTTATTGTACATTTTTAATTTTTAACATTATTATTATTATTATTATTTTTTTTTTGCCATGTATGAATATATTTTGAAAATTTTAAAAAATTTACAAAAATTTCAAAGAAAAATTATAAAAAAATTTTGTTTTATTTTAATTATTTGTTTTTTTTTTGTTTTTGATATTATTTTATAGTGGATTTAGATTGGGATATGAAAATTCGGATTTTTTTTTTTCACAAATAATTTAAAAAACAATAAGTTATGTGTTCCATAATTAGAATGAATGAGGGTGTTTAATTAATACGTTCTGTTTTCCTAATTCCATGACAATTTCAATAAAATTTAAAATATTCAATTTTCTTAAAATACAAAATTAATTGACCAAATAATCATAAAACAAAGTCAAAAATTTTCAAATAAAATAATAAATATATAAAATTCTATATTAAGTTTTCCTAATATTAATAAATAGTAGAAATATGGTCGATTTTCCTGCGACAATTCAATATGGTATTAATGAGACCATATTTTATAAAGCGGATTCACATTAACATTTTAATGAATTCGTAATTTTGGAAATTTCTGAAAATGCTGTCTTAAAGTAAGAACTGCAAATCTTTAAAAGCTCATTTAATTTTTACATAAAGCTTTGAAACTTTGCAGTTCTAACTTTAAGAACCCGGACCTTACTATGTAATTCGATTTTCAATTCAGAAATGTATAAGTAGAGACCATACAAATTGATTGATACTACCTTACCATCTTTTCGAATACGAAAATCAAATAATTAATTATTTAATATATATTATCGAATAATATTTTGAAAATTACCCGAGTCCTTTTACTGGCATTTTGAATTAATCTGGCAACTACTAATATTTTAGAAGTTCTTTTATTGAAATCCTTTTTACATTTGAACATTTAAATAATTTATGTATAAAAATAAATAATTTACTTGTATAAGAAAATTTTATTAAAACAATAGGTAAAACTATTGCAAATTAAGAAAAAAACCGTAAGTTATTACATAATAACTACAATTTATTGATGAAAACTTTACCTGAAAAAATAAAATATTTGGTATATTATAAATATTGTAAAAAAAAATGTACACATTCGGTTAAAAATTTGAATATAAAAAATTATTTAAAAACTATTTAAAAAATGAATATATACATTATATACATACATATATATATATATATTTAGAATTAATATGAGTGAATACTATTTAAAACTTAATTGATATTGTAATTTAAAATTTTAAAAGATAAAAACAAAAAGGATATTTGTCGATTGTTGTATATTTCAAATGAGAAGAAAGGATATTATTTTTGTTGCACACATGTAAAATAAGACTATGAAATGAAACGAAAAATTTTAATTATATTATGCTATAGTAGCCTACAACTGTTAGGGTTTATACATGATTTTAAGATTTTTGATTTCATAATAATATTACAAAGCTTCCTGAAAATTATTGTGCAGACGTAAGTTCAAATATCCTTATTGTAACTGTAATATAATAAGAAAAACGAAAAACAAAACTAAAAACTCAATCGTTACAAAATATTGAGTGTTGCTTTTTATAAATTTTTTTAATTTTAAAAACATTTGATGCCTTAAATATACAAAAATGCCTTTATTTTAAAATTATTAAATAAAAAGGTGTAAAAAAAATATAAGAAATAATGCCTTATTTTAGCTAAAAAATAAAAAATTGTTAAGTGCAATTTTTTAAAAAATTTTTGCAGTTTGATATTATTTGAATATCAAAAAACAAAAAGCAGACTTTTTTAAACGAAAAATTAAATAACAAAATGCATATGCCTTATTTAAATAAAAGAAAGAAGAGTTTCTATTTACGGTAACAAACATAAATTATTATATAATAATATTATATAATAATTAAGTACTCTACTGATAAAATATAAATGTAATATTGAAAAATAAAAAATGCAAATTTGTTTTTTTTTTTTTTAAATTTTGTTGCAAAGTGTCGATTGTGTGCCTATGTTTTATTCAAAATGAAATTTTACTTTAAAGAATTACAAATAAATGGAATAGTTTGAAAATAAAAATATATCTTGTTTGATTTTTTACATATTAATATTTTTATTATTGCGCGTAAATTCTTTTTCTTGGAAATACTTTCTCATTAATTTCAAAATAAATTTCGTATTTTTAATATTTGAAAATTAAAACAAGATTTTAATTTTATGGTTTCGCTACTCAACGGTAGATCGCGCAATATTTTTGCTTTTTTCAAAGCATCGTTTTTATTACTCACTCTATTTTATATGTACAAAACGTCAAATGTCAAAGTCATCTGTTTTCATTCTTTCGTTATTTTCATTTGCAGGTTAAACAAATTTAATAAATTTTAATTATTTATAATATTGATTAAATTTGAAATTTTAGCATAAAATATTAGCAAAATGACTTCACCACTCGAACTACTCGAGAATAAAAATGATAGAATTCCAACATTTTTGAACGATAAATGGAATCCTATGTTGGGTCTTGCTATGGGGTAAGCAATATTTCTTATTATTTACTTTTTTATTTTCAAATATAACAAAAAAACTGAATAATATATAATAAAAAAAAAAACCAATTTAATTTTAAGATTTGGTGCTGCATGCTATATGAATTTTGCTTTAAGAGTACCAGTATTCTCAGGTAAATTATGACGTAACATTAACCTCTTATACATAAATGTATGTATGTATGTAATCAATAACTATTAACATTTATTATTGTTATATGAAGGTATACAACGGCATGTTAGTTTTGCTCTGATTGGAGGTCTTCTAGGAAAATATTTTGATGGTAAAAGAAATGATTATCTAGCAGAAAGAGATGCTGTATTACGCCATTATGTTCAATTACATCCAGAAGATTTTCCAACTCCCGGTAATTTTATTATATTTTAACATTATCAAAAAATATACACCCGTATTCTGTAAGAAGCATCATTTGAAGTGATTGAATGTTATTATTCAAAATTATTAACATTTTCGATATGAAATCTGAAATTTCCAATTAAATTTCATTTTAGAAATTATAAAATTTTGAAATAATATTCTATTAACTCAATTGATGTTTCAATTTAACTGATGAATATTATGGTTTGCATGAAATTATTTAATATATAATATGTATTTTTTATTTTAGAAAGAAAAAAATTCGCCGATGTTCTTCATCAATGGGCTCCAATTCGTTAAATAAAAAATTAATTATAAATAAATGTATATTTTCACAAAAAAATTTGTTCACCATCATACTATAAATAAATTGTTGAAAAATAGCTATATTAAGTAGTTAAAATGGAAAATGAAAATAAATGGAATAAAAAATTTCATTAGCCAAGTTCTTATTTATTAATATATATATATATATATATATCTTAAAATATCTAAGTAAATAAATAAAAATACAAAACAAAAGGAGCTTATAAACCAATGTACATCTTATTCTAGCATTTCCTGTAAAAACTATTATTTAGTTGAATATACTACGAAAGAGCTAACATTTATGTAAAAAACTTTAAAATAAAATTGTAAAATTGAAAAGGTACCATTTTTATTCGCACAGAAACTACAACTTTAGTTATCTCTTATATACTTTCATAAAATATCATTCTGGAACTGAAAATTTCATTCTCATATTGGTAATTAAAATATTTTGCTCTTTGGGTCAAATTCTACTTCAACCAGTATACCTTCCTACTCTTTATTTTGCAGGAAATAATTCTTATTTGATAAGTTTTACATTGAGCTCAAAAAAAATAATCAGTTTTATAAAAATTTTTTGAAAATCTTCTAATAAGAAATATTGTTCCGGAAAAAAGGATGAATTCTAAATTTTCACCAAATTTCAGTAAAGTGAAAAGAACAAGGGAAAATTTTTTTCCTAAGATTCAATAAAGAAAAAGCTCATTATTTTACCGTTTTAAAAGCTTCCCTTTCAAAAATTTTCATTTATCGTTTCTGTTTTTCTCCATGAATCACGCACAAAGTAAAATTTCAAATTATATCGATAAAAAAAAAACGAAAACAAAATAAATTCAACAACAAAAAAAAAATAAGTCAAAATAAAATTGTTTCCTGTTTTGTTATACAAAAAGAAAAAAAAAAAAACGATAAAAAAAAGTACCGTTTAAATTTTTCATTCCTTTTTTCCTTTTTCCTTTCCTTTATATTTTTATTATATACGGTTTTTATTCCTTTGTCATGATTATTGTTTGTTTCTCTCTTTTGCTTATAATATTATAGAAAAATGTACAGAAAAGGTGCGGTGCGGTGGCTGGTATGGTTATGCGCTAGCGCTTATAAAAATGAAATCCTCTCAAATCGAATTCTTTTTTTAAGTATAATTTTGTTTTTTATTTCTTGCATTTCGGTTTCGTTTAACTTTTTCCTTTTTTCTTCTTTTACTTTTTTGTTGTCAAATTTCTTATAATATATTTTTTAGTTGAGTATCGGAATTTGATGAAAGTAGAAGGTACCGTTATTCGGAATTTTTTTTTTTGTTTGTTTGCAAAATAATATTATAGCTAATTATATTATTTACATTATATATGTATATATATAGGCATATATACATTTATATTATATAATATAAGGGAAAGAGAGTATGTGTACATTTAATATAATAAATATTATGTACAATATATGTATAATAAAACATCATTTAATTAAAACTTATATGAAAATAAAAATAATAATTAAAAAAAAATTAATAATAAAATATTTTAAAATATATATTTATTAAAAAAGAAATTTATTACCAAATTAAAATTATTTTATTGAAAATATGAAAAAAAAAAACAAATTATTAAATTTTAAAAATATTAATAAAATAATTATAATAAATTAATAATCATAAATATGTACATATAACATTATATATATATATATATATATATATACCGTATACAATTATGAATATACATTGTTATATATATATATATTGAGTTCTTTGATAAATTATAGTCGGTGCGCGTTCTATATATTTACATTTTTATATATTTAATTGAATATTATAATATATATATATATATATATATATATATATATATGTTTTAGAATTTAGCTTATACATACATATATACATATATATATTACGTCTATATATATATATATTTTTAAATATATATAAAGAAATATAAAAAATAATAACAATATATAATAAAAGTAAAAATTTCAGAAGAATATAAATTTATTGAATGAAAAATTATTATTAAGGATAATAGGAGGAAGAAATTTATTTTATGCGTTCCTATACATACATATATATATATATATATATATATTTAAATTTTTTTTTACTATTTCTAATAATATTTTATTTTCTTTAATAATTTTATTTTAACAAAATTATTTTTATTATTTCACCTATTTCTTAAATTTGTAATTAATTTTTATTTAATTAAATTTAATAAATATTTTAAAAATTTGAATTATTCAAAATTAAATAATTAATTTTGAATAATTTTAATTAATTTTAAAAAAAAACTACATAATTTATAAAATTATTAAAAGTATTCAATTGAATATTCAACAAATTGTAAAAGAAAATAAAAATATGTGAAAATATGTGGAATTATAATAAAATAAAAAAAAAAATAAATTAAGAGTAAAATTAAAATATTAAAAATATTTTATATGAAATTTTCATTTCATTATCGATTATTTAGTTTAAATATAAAATATTAATTTAATTTTTAAATAAAATAATAAAAAATAATAAACGAGAAATTTTAATAAAATTATTTTTAATATTATAAAAGAAAATTGTATATGAGACTCACATTTTATACTTCCTCACTTCAATAAAAATCTTTAAATTCCTTAACTTCTTCAGTTTGTTTTTAATAATTTTAATTTAATTCATATTTCTTAATTTCTTTTTTTCATTATTCCTTTTAATATTGCCACGACATTTTAAAAAGAATATCTTGAAAATTGATAGAGTAGGGAAGTGCGAGCAGAAGCTTATAATAAACGAATGAAAAACTAGATAATTAAGAAAAACGAAGCAAAAAAAAAAATATTTATAATAATAAAAATCATACGATTGAAACGATATTAAAATTTCGATAAAAATTTTCTTAGAACAAAATAAGAAAACAAAAACAACGACAAGGAAAACAAAAAACCTGGCTAAAAAAGGATATTAAAAATAAATTTTCATGTTTTTTTGTCATGGTTCATTTTTCATTATCCTTAAAGAATTGAAAACCAAAAAAAAAAAATAATTTCATTTCTTCGATTCCCACAATATTAAAAGTGTTGTACTACTTACCTTAAAATCGAGAAAAAAAATTAATTAATTAAACATAGAAATTAAAAAAAAAAAAAAGTTAAATTTGTGAATTTGAAAATACGAAAAAAAAATTTTTTTTTGCCTTCCTTAATTTTTAAAATTTAAATATTTTATTTTAATAATATTTAAAAAACAACCAAAAAAAATTAATACAACCGTCGAAAAATAAAGAAAGGAACAACAACAATTCAAGAGAAAAAAATAAAGGATTAATTCACAAATTGGATAATGGCGAAGGTAAGTTTAAAAGAGAAAGAGATTAAAGACAAAAAAAAAAAATTATTTTTTTTATTAATTAAACTTTTTTTATAAATTTATAAATTTTATTCAAATAATATTTTTAAATAAAATGCTAAATTTTGTAATAAATTAAAAAAAAAAATAATAAAAAAAATTTAACAGTTCCGTATTTCAATGTAAATGTAAGAAAAATCTCTACAAATCCTATAATAGACAAACAAATAAGACTCAAGTGAGGCCAACGAGAAATTTATATGAAAAAATAATTGAAAAATTAAAAAAATTTATTTTGTTCTATTGAAAAAGCAAAGATATGGAAACAAAAAAACAAATTCCGTGCTAGAATTTTAATAATAATTTTTAAATCTTTCATATATTATAAAATTTAATTTTCCCCATATATATACGATATTATTTAATCCGAGTGAATAATTTCGAACATTCGAATCCGAACGAATTTCATATTAAACAAGAGAAATTAAATGAAAAAAAAATTTATTACTATTAGCAAAGACACATATAATATGTATTTATAGAATAATATATGAGTCTTTGCTAATTAATTTGCTAATTTCAGTGAATTTCGAAGAATAACTGGATGAAGCGAAATTTTTTTTTTCTCTATAAATTTAAAAAAAATGAATTACTAGTAATGAAACCTTTTAAATGGGTTTAATTATAATTTCAGTATTTTCGATTTTAATTTAAATTTACATATGAATATATATATATATATATATTTATATATATACATATATATATATATAAACTATATAATATATGTATATATATGTAATATATATACATATATTATATGATATATATAATATATGTATATGTATATATACATACATTATAAGCATATTAAATTAAGTTACTTTTTGTATTATAGAAATTATGGCTGAATTTAATGAATTTCGAAAAAAAAATCTATTTTTGTACCATACTTCCTTCTTGGTATATATGTAGGTTTTCTTTTGAATTTTTTTTATTGAAATCTATACATATATTTAATTTAAAATTTCCAATGAATGTGATATATATATAATATTAAGAATATTATTTTAAGAATCTAACACGAAAAACTAAAATTATTAAAAATTCATTTTTCATTTTTATGATATTAAATGAAAAATTAATCTTACGTTATTTATATGTAGTTCATCTTTTGTATATTTAGACATACATATATAAAATAGAATTTGTAAACTGATATATTAATAAAATAATCAATAATATTTCGTATTTTTGTTAAAGTTATGTATATATATCAGATATGTGTGTTAACATACAAATTTATTAAATTTATATCAAGACTATATTAATGAAATATACTTAGTATAGAATATTTTAATTAGAAGATTATCATTTTTTCATTTATTAATTATGATTATTTGTAAAATAAAATATAAAATCTGTAATATTCGCACAATAATTTATATATATATATATATATATTATAAATTTGTATTATAAAAATATTTTTGTAATTTATTAGTTTTACAGCTTAAATTTAAGGTTGTATATTGGATCGAATTTCTATAATAGGGAAAATCCCAATTACTTAAGATCGTTCGAGATTTTCAATATTACTATGGACTACGGGATGAATTACCGCACATAATAACGCGTATATTACCCAAAATCAACTTATATTTGCACGTTTTTTTAATACTAATATTATTTTCTCTTTCCCTTTCCCGATTTTATCTATAAATGAGGAAGATTATTTTTTGTTGCTATTCTAAATGCTTGTACTAAGGAATCGTCTGACAAGATTTAGAAATTTGGATT